TATTTTGCATTATTATTTTTAACATCGTACATATTGTAATTAACATTTTACTTATACACGCTTACTTGATAATATCAACAATGGCGATGTGGAAGATCTCAAAATCTCTGATATCTTTCTCCTGGACTCTACCATCACCCTCTATTACATTGCAACCAACCCTTTATTTGCTTGATTCTTCCTCATCAACCTCTTAATTTCCTCTGCATCACTCCACATTCTCTTCTTAGCATACACATTTCTGAGCATGACATAATTTCCATCATTCCATGGCTCCACTTTGACTGCCTTCTTTAAAACTTTGTTGGCCCTTGTGACATCCTCAGAATGGCCACATGCAAAAAGAAAAGAACTCAAAATTATTCCATTAGCATCATAAGGCATGCTCTCAATCAATTTCTCGACTTCCTCCAAGCATCCTGCCCTTCCCAAAAGATCAACCATACAACCATAATGCTCAATTTGAGGGATAAGCAAAAAGCCCTCCATTCCTTTAAACCATCTTTTCCCTTCCTCTACCAGACCACAATGGTTACAAGCAGACAAAACACCAATAAAGGTTATATTGTTCGGCATAAACTTTTTGCACTGCATCTCTAAAAATACCTCCAGTGCCTCCTTGCCATGGCCGTTTACTGCGAACCCATTTATCAAGGTATTCCAAGAAGCTGTTTCCTTTTCAGGCATCTCATAAAAAAGTCTTTTGGCCTCTGTAATTTCACCACATTTTGCGTACATATCAACAAGCGCAGTGCAGTCAAGCTTCTTCCTTTGTACAAACTTTTGAACCCAACGACCTAAATCCAACACGCCCAAATCTGCAATAGCTGGAAGAATGCTAACAACAGTCACGCCATCCAGTTCAAGAGACGTATTTGACTGCAGTTCATGAAATAATTTCAAGGCTTCATGGGGCTGTTTGTTTTGACTGTAACCCCCAATCATCACATTCCAAGAAATTAGATTCTTCTCGGCCATGGCATCAAAGAGTGATCTAGCAGATTGTACATCACCATGATGGCAGTAACCATACATCATACTGGTCCAAGATACCACATTCCTATCCGTCATCTCATCAAATAAACTTCG